ATTCACACGTTCTTTCCTTTCACAGGAAGTACAGTTTCTCTCAGAAGACACTTTGATTTCCAGGTGCCTGTTTAGCCCCTCCCTCTCGCAGTCATCTGTCCTGACCCTGCAGGTCTTGTTGAGGTGAACAGATCGGGACTAAGAGGCTGAGTGGATTCAGTCTCAGCTCTAAAGAACAAACTTGGCTGCACAGTTAGAGGTTTGGTTTCTGAATGTGACCGCGTTCAGAAATCTCTGAACCTCTCAGCCGGTGTCGTCACCGCCGCTCCGTTTGTGGCAGCACATCGTGTGGGCGGGACTCGTCACCAGGGAAAAATGGGGATGTCTATTTCCGAGCAGCGAGATAAGGCGGACAGAGACAGGAATGGGGCGACGCCAGTCCTTCGCACAATGGTGGCGACAGTGTTGATGAGCTGTCAAGATACTGTTGCCATAGAGACAAAAACCAGAGACTTATGAAGCGAATGGATTTGTCCAAAGTCCTTCAATCTCAGAAAAACACAAACCCTGTTTAAGTGCGAACACTGACGGATCTGAACTCTTCCATACTTATTTTTCCTAAAGATAACTATAACATGTGCCAATTCCTGTTTTTGATTTTAGACCAATAAGATTCAGCAGCTCGTAGGACCGCCTTCAGCAACAGTAAGCTGCTGTGATGGTGTCTACTCTTCTTTACGGCGTTGCTTCAGCTCACAGAGGTTTTCAGCACAGCTCGTTGAAGCTGCAGCATCTCAGTCAAGCTGAGCTCTGCGCTGTGACATCACCATCGCTGCAGCTTCATTCTGTCCTTCTTCAGCTGTTCTGTTGCAGGTTTGCTGCTGTGATTGGATCTTTGTCCTGTAGCTGTGGGACACATGTATACTGAGGAGTTCACGGTCCACTCCTCCACGTGCTCACAGCTGGTCTGAGGAGTTGGTTTTGTGCATTAACGTCTCCTCTGTGGTCTCGTCTGTTCCAGCCGTCTTGTTCTTTGTTCAGATGCAGCTTTGCAAACCTAAGCTGTGCTGCTAGCCTTTCCAAACCTGCCATGACCTTTAACCTTAAGCCTGCTAACTGAGGCCTGTAGAATCTGCAGTGGAGCACAGCCCGGTCTGACCTCAGGGGGACTTTGCTGGACGTCCATTCCTGAGAGGACTGTGGCATTAACACACCTGAGCGCTCCAAACCTCTGCTTTACAGATGTGCTCACTCTTACTGATGCTCAACTAATCAAGTGCGTTGATTAGCAGCACCTGCCTGGTAATCCAAACAACAAATATGTGTGTGTGGCGGGGACGGGGGGACAAGGTCTTGTGAGAGACTTTACTCGACGCCAGCGGACTAACTCCCAACGCCTTCAGGTTAATGGGTTCCTCGTCTCACCAGGACTGCAGAGTGGGGACGCTCACATATGACCCACTGATGTGGGGTCAAAGGTCACACTCTGCTCTGCAACCTCCTGTGGTTAATCTACACAGGCTCCACGTGAAGCTGCCGTCTCCTCCGAGTTAAAGATAAGATCGATATTGATCGGACATGAAGTCAGAGTTTAGTGAGGACGCGTTATTACCGTCCATCACGCCGCTGACTGAGTCACTGCTCAACCTGGAAACGCGCTCAGTGCTAATGAATCGACACCACGCTGTCGGGTGATGACGATGATGTTTTGGGGGAAACAGAATTAGAAGCTGCCTCTTCGTTCTGACAGCCCTGTCACAGTGCAGATGACAGCTGCGCTATTCATGGTTTATAATTGTTTCAAACATTTGAGTCTAAACATTTATTCACCCTGTAAATCCACTTTGTGTTATAGTCACACACTAATGCAGCGTATGAAAGCTCTTGGTTACTTTTAGAATTTAACTGTTATTATGTGAAATTATTTTCATGTATCTGAGATATTTTATTTCTAACAGTTTGCATTTAGTGTTTAATTTCATGTTCTTAACGTCTGGGATGAATAAAAGAATATTTCTGATTAAAAATACTTATGGGGATAGTTTTGACTGCTAATTTAAATGTTTGAATGATAACGTCCCACTGTGATCAGGTGGTCATCACCGAGTTAAGATCTGGATCATGTTGATCTTTTTTGATGTCCCTTATTAAATTGTACATTTACTGTTTTCTTGTTTTTATGCATCATGTCTTAATTTTAATGAACTGTAAATTGTCTTTATCAGCATCATTTCATACAATTTATTTTATTTGTATATTCTAAACATACTCTGGGTATAATTACAGTTAATTGGTCATTTTGGGCAGATAAGCTCCGCCCACCTACTGATCAAACCTTTGGTTTGTGAAGGATGCCCAATCAGAAGAACGCTGATTTCATGGAGGAATTAAAATAGTTTGATGATCCTACAGGCTGCAGAAAAGCACAGAATCAGTAAAATATGGATTATTTCGAACTGTGAATCATGCAAAGCTGCTCTAACAGAGTTAGAATAAAAATATGGAGCTGGATAACTTTCATGATAAGCTACTGTGATCAAACTAAACTGCAGCCTGAGGTGAAGAATTAGAACAAACATGGATCAGGCTAATTCCTGAAGAGACCAGTCCAGCTCCGGTGGGGTTTAAAGGAGTCAGACACTGGTTGAACTGGGCTGTGGGCCATTTAGGTACTGAAAGTCCATTAGGACACACACACAACTGCAGACACACAAACACACACTTGGGCATTATGGGTGTCAACTGAAGCTGAAAAGCAGATTTCCACACGATCACCAGTCTCCCACACCTCAAGGTCAGAGATCACCTGTCAGCTGCAAAAGCACTGTTTAGCCAGCTCACAGACACACACACACAGACAGTAAACTGGCTGTGTGTGTGTGTTCGTGAGAGACACACAAACAAATGACAGCACATAAACAAACACATATGGAGCCCAAACCAAAAACAAGAAAGCGATGCTGATACATTCATGTCAGTAACGACTGCAGTAAATATAAACCAACGGATGCCTAAAAGTAAAACTCTCAGGTCTGGACCTGGAAAATGAGTCTACAGTCTGGAGTGGATCACGGCCACAGAAGGTCGCTGCTAATTTCACTTTTCAGAGACAACGTTTAACAATGAAAACCGAAAGCAAAGGCGCAAAGGATCCCACAAATCTGCTCAGAAATACTGCAGCGTGCGCTAAAAAGGACGGGCTCGCTCAAAATTACACTTCAAAAGAAGTACAGCAAAGCATAGACTGTATAATAAAGATGGAGCTAATCACTGTGCATTAAGTCCAATTTTTATGCTTCAACTTAAGCATTTTACACAGACAGAAATACCTGCTAATTAATGCTGGAGACGTCACAGACAGTCTGTTCAAACGATATCTGGTCCAACTGTAAAAACACGGCCCAGAGGTCCCGTTCAGAGGACAGCTAGCAGCTGTCAGTCAAAGAGGCCACGCCCATAATAATGGAAACATTTTGGTTTTAATACAATTTAAACAGCTAAGTTATAAAAACCTTTTCTCCCTGTACAGTTGTTGTGAAAGTATCTATAAAAACCAGAACAGTTTGTGCATCGAGCTGCAAACACGTTTATTTCTGCTGTAAAGTTTAACATGGGAGTCAATGGTGACGGACTCACTGCTGACTCTGCTGGACGCTAGAGGAACCTCAACATGGAGGTGGTTTGATCTAAACCAGGCAGAATTTACTGATGTTTGTTTATATGTTTATTCAAAGAAAATGTATATAAGTATAACTGTGGTGTACAACACGTTCTGGATTATTATGGTGGACTCACCCAAACGAGTAAACCTGGCTGGGTTTCTTCATGGTCACCCAGGAGCTGATGAGACAGGTGATCAAACTGCAGGTCAGAGGAAGGAGAAGAGGAGGATGAGGATGAGAGGAAGCAAGGGTGATGGCAGGGAAAGAGAAATTGGGTGATTGATGGAGTGGATGGAGGAGGACAGACGAGAGAAGAGCAGATAGGAAGAGTCAGCGAGAGACAAGCGGCAGAAAAAAGAAACCAACACGACACAGAGGTCGGCCCAAGTTCACCTCCTCCTGATTTATTTTTCATTCATAACAATCTCAGAAGTTATTTTTATAAGGAGCAGAATAGAGCGGCCACAAACGATTATTTTTGCGATTAGTCGACTAATCAGATCATCATCCATCTGCTCTTATATAACTATCATTAGCTTACAGCTTTAAGTGTTTAAGGTATGTGCTAACTAAAAATAAAGACAAGAAGATAGTTTGTTAAATTTTAAT